TAAGTATTATTTATGTTGGCCCAAATCAGCTCAATAGGGTTCAGCTCACAATGGTAGGGTGGCAGTCTCAAGACAGTTTTATTTTGTTTTTTGGCCATTTCGTCGATCATTTTAAAATCGTATTTGTATTTATGTCTATTGACTATACTTATCAATTCACCCTTGACCATTGTTTCATCAAAATCGATCTGTTTTGAGGCCAGCCATTGTTGTATGTTTGCTTTTTTAGTTGCCATTGTGGGAATTTTTTCTATTTTTCTAGAATGGTACGGGGCATTATCCAGTACAATAACAGCGTTATTCTCCAGCTTTAGTAACATTTTGGAGAACCAATTTTCAAAGGAATTGCCGTCCATCTCCTCATGATAGTCCCCTGTCTTTTTTGATTCAAAGGCCCACAGTGCTTCGGGAACAAAGCCGTCTTCACTACCTACGTGACAAATGATCAGCCGTTTGCCTTTTCCTGGAAATAAATTATTCCTTACACTATGGATTGATTAAATTTGAAGGAATGATTGAGTTCATTTAGCTGAATTTAAGAGTCACGGAATGCTGATCAAAAACTGAAAAACGTAGAAAATTGAAGTTTGCAACTTCTCAAAACCCATTCAAAGCAAATTGACTGCACCCAAAAATGATAATAAATTTCAAAATAACGCTTAAAAGAGGGTCGAAGTTTTTTTCCTAATGACTACACTGCGAATGCACCATTTTTGGAGAATATCACACATTATCTGCTATCACAGCATATTATTTGCCCGAATTTATCAAAATTAAATTGCCGGATAGATGAAGGAGCTTACCTGCAGGATTTTTCAATCCAGCCGAAAGACCGTCTAGAAAAGCCTGCCTTGATGATGTTACTGATTTGTCGACCCAAACTTTCGCTTGAGTATGTCCAGCATTCACCCACGTTTCGTCCAAATAGTAAATTTTTCTTTTTTCATCGCGAAACTTCCGAATCTTCCTAAGGTATTCCCTTCTCCACACAACAATTTCTTCTTTCTCTATTAACATACTGTTTCTTCCCCGTTTCAAGAATCGAAAATTAAGTTCCTTCAAAAGTTTTCGGAATGTGGTTCTTTTAAATGATGGAAGATCCTCATCAGCATTAACTAATCTTAATATCTTATCTACTGTAGGTATCTCATTTCGGAAGAAAAAATTATGCACTTTCCTCCTGATGGCAGTTCTGTCAAAGTCATCTACTCCGTCCGTTATCCTTTTTCTTGCAGGATACGGTTTTGGCTCAGAAAGTGAGTGAGTGCTCCTATATTCCTTAATGATCCTATAAACACTGGACCGACATACTCCAGAAATATGTGCTACCTTACATATAACTTCGTCCACGACCAAACCGGGTTTTTCTTGAATTTGGTTTTTGTATATATTTAATATTATTTTTTTTTCATTTGCACTTAAATGTAGCTTCTTAGCCCTTTTTTTGGGTGGGGTTGCGCTGATGTCAACCACTTCGTCGGCTGTATCTGTGTCAGACATCGTATCTTAGGCAATATATAAACAAAACGTTCCACTAGCGAAAAACGAGTATACGCTACTGAATGCGTAATGCGTATGCAATGCAATCCTGTGCGTGAATTAACTGTTAGATGCCTGTCGTGTCATCTACAATCACGTTTACAAGTCCAAACCTGTGCAGATTCGTAGAGCGCCGACGACTGCTAGTGACCTTGAATTTGTCTGTAGATCGATGTTACTCCAGTCAATTTAGGTTCAAAGTAGATGTTTTCTAAACCAATTTGTTGTTCCTACATCAAAAATATATCGATGATGTTTTGTACTTGGAGCTCATGAAAGATCAAGGTAACTTATTTTAACAGTCATCCTTTTTCTAGTCTCAAGATGACACGAAAAAGGGTCTGTGGATTCACTAGAAATACACTGCCGAGGATGTTTAGACCTAAAGTGACTGGAGTATATCCGTGGATGCTTTCGAGGGATCTGTTCACGTGCTGATCACTGTTTACGTTTAATGTCTTTCTTCAGCGCCCAGAGTTTAGGTGTCGACGATTTTCACGCTAACTTCTCCAGGCTATCCGCACAGTTTTTATTAATGCATGGTTGTATTGACATAAAATTATAAATGAAAAACACATTCACTTCGAATCGCTAAAACCCACCTAGCGCAAATGAATTGTGCTGGTGCAGCATGTATTTACTGGTAACAAATGGAAACTAAATGAAAAAGTCCATTATTTACTTTAATATATCGACGCGTTACAGTTGTCAAGCTCAGTTTGATAAATATGTAACGTGTCCGATATCTAAATATATGTTTGTGTTATGTTGCATAAAATCTATTTTATACATAACCTACTGAGGCTGAAAGAGATATTTCATAAAAACGGGTTTGGATACTCCATACATTGTATGGTTTCTTTCAATCCAATTAATGTTGATCGAATACACCATTCTGTTCAAGATCTGCTGCGCTTTCATAGTGGTGCTATTTAATTCTTGTTGAGATAAGAATGGATAACCGTTTTCAATTCTTTGACTGAAGATTTTTTTAGAAAACCAAGTGTTACAAATATTGACAAAATGACTAATGTTGAGCTTGACTTTTATAGCAACTTGGACGTTTAAAAAACAAAACATTGGAATTAAAGTCACATTTTTTGAACATTTTCCATATCTTTGTTGAGAAAGGCGTTACGATTTTTTAAAAAGCTGTTTTCCATAAATGTTGTTGCTTTTTGCGAGGGAAATGCGCAAGAAACTCAAAAAGTCGCTTTCCGTTATAAAGCTCTTCAGCAACAATTTTTTCGAAAGTTTGATTGTTGAAAACAAAAGAACGTATATGTAGATCAAGGTGAAATGTCAATGTTGTAGGTATATTCAGCAATAAAGGTCATAAAGGCAATGCCACCGTTCTTCTGAAGACCGAGGACTACATAAGGAAGATTATTGACCCAGAAAGTTACAAACCCCTGAAGAAGGATCCAACGCGAGCCAGACTACGCCTTACCAACCGGCTCATCAAGCTATCATCGCCGCCAGAAGACACCAGGAAGAGCGTTACGAGGACGGAAGCTGTTCCACCAAGGCTCTACGGCCTGCCCAAGATCCACAAGGCAGATGTTCCGTTGAGACCAATAGTCAGTGCTCCCGGATCGTCGACGTACTACTTAGCGAAACACTTGGCATCCCTGCTGCAACCATACGTAGGAAAGAGTACCAGCTACATCAAGGGCTCCACTGACTTTGTGTGCAACATTCAGGACATCGTAGTTGAACCCGACGACATCCTTGTGAGCTTCGATGTCGTCTCCCTTTTCACCAAGGTACCGCTGAGGGAATGCCTGAATCTAGTGAGCAGGATCTTCCCTTCTGACATCTGCAAGCTCTTTGAAATGTGTCTCACTGGAAGTTACTTCGTATGGAACGGGGGCTTTTATGAGCAGACAGACGGAGTGGCAATGGGAAGTCCACTTAGCCCAGTCATAGCCAACCTTTTTATGGAACACTTTGAGAAGAAGGCGGTTGAGACATCGGAGAACAAACCAGACATTTGGTCCCGTTACGTGGACGACACCTTCGTGATTTGGAAACATGGCACGGACAGGCTAAACGAGTTTCTCAACGATCGGCGTCCAAGCATACAATTTACCATGGAGATAGAGAGTGACCAGCAACTGGCCTTTTTGGACGTACTAGTCAGGAAGCGAGGTAACAAGCTGGGTCACACACAATGTACAGGAAACCAACGCACACAGACAGATACCTGCGCGCTTTGTCCAATCATCACCGAAGTCAGAAGTATGGAGTCATCAGAACCCTGACGGAACGAGGTCGAAGAATTTGCGAACCGGAGAACCTCCAGACAGAAATTGAACCCTGAAAACATCGTTCTGAGCAAATGGCTACAGCAAGAGGGACATCTCACCAGCTCTCAAGCGTATCTTCCATTTGTGCCAAGAGTCATGGACAGGATTGGCAGAGTCCTGAAGAGACATGGCATTCAACTGGCCGCGAAAGCCTTAACCAATTTGTGAATAAAGGTCATGCTTAACATCAGCTATTTTTTTAATTTAGTCCTTGGTTTTCCATAAAAACATAAATTACGTCTTCATTTCCCGGTTCTTTCAGCCCATATGAAGGATGAAATTATTTTCCACAAATAACACTGGACAACAAATTTTAGTTTTTTAATTGTATCTTGTGGGAAAAGTGCACTTCTTTGTTAATTTTGGGGCGCTGAATCCAAAAATGAAAATGAAATAAAAAATTAGTTGCGGTTTAGAAAAAAAACTTTTTATTTTTAAGGATATATTAAACAAAGTAACAAGATTCATATACTTATAAGAATCACTATATGCGCTGTCTTTTTGCTGTTCTTTTATGGATCGTTTCTGGAGCATCTCTACCAAGAGTCCAACAGTAGTCTGCAAGCATGGAAGGATTCCACTTTCCCTGGTACCTTTTTTCCATTGTTGAAATATCCTGATGAAAACGTTCGCCGTGCTCATCACTTACGGCTCCGCAATTGTCAGGAAAAAAGTCCAGGTGTGAGTGTAGGAAATGTATCTTAAGAGACATATCTTTTGATACGAAGACAGCATATTTTTGACAAGGGTTTTATAGTTGTCAGCTTTTCTATTTCCCAAGAAATTAGTGACCACCAGACGGAAATCATTCCAAGCAGTTTTTTCAATACCTGTTAAAGTGTTTTCAAACTGTGTATCTTTCAAAATATTTCGAATCTGTGGCCCAACAAAAATAATTTCTTTAACCTTTTTTATCAACAGTTAGATGACGTGATAAATAGTCTACCAAAATACGATATCAAAATAATATTAGGAGACTGCAATGCAAAAGTTGGGCGTGAAGACACTTATCGAAACGTTACAGGAGGGAAAAGCAAACATGAACTCTCAAATGAAAATGGCAAACTCCTGATTAACTTTGCAATTGAACAAAATTTCAAGATAATGAGCACTTATTTTGACAGGAAAGATATCCACAAGACAACATGGATCTCACCAGGTGGTAATACTGCGAATCAAATTGACCACGTACTGATCGAAAACAAGCATGCCTGCAATATACACAATGTTAGAAGTTACCGTGGTGCAGATAGTTATACGGATCACTTTATGGTAGTAGCTGTTATAAAACAAGAAATCCCGAAGAAACAGTTAGAGAGACAGAAGACAATCAAAAGGTACGAAACAAAAGCGCTAGAAGATACGTCAGTTAGACAGCAACTTGAACAAGCAATAGCGACAGGACTGCAAAACACACCAGTTGTGCAGGATATTAATCAGGAATGGAATCATATCCAAGCAATAATCACTAATGTAGTAGAATAGATGATGAGAAAAACGAGTACTAGAAAAAACAAAGAGTGGTTCGATGATGACTGTAAACGGGAATTGGAACAAAGACAGAAAGCAAAAATACAAATGGATGTATCTAGAACAACAGAGTCAAGGAAAGGATATGAGCAAGCCAAACGAAAAGTGAAAGAGATGTGTAGAAAGAAAAAGCGTGAATACTGGGAAATGGGCTTGAAAATGATAGAAAATCACATGATCAACAAATACATTAAGAACTTTTATCAGGATGTAAGAAGAAGCAAATTGGGTAGTCAAAGGTCTTCTTGCTTCTATAAAGACAAAGATGGGTCGTTAATTGGTGACATTCCAGGAAAATTAGAAAGGTGGGCCAAACATTTTGAGGAACTGTTAAAGCTATCAGACGAAGAGGAAAGGAACACGGAAGCAGCACCAATAATCGAAGATGACAATCAGGGACAAATACACGAACCAACGGATCTGGAAATAGAGGAAACAATAGGAAGATTAAAATACAATAAGAGTCCAGGAGAAAATGGAATCACAGCAGAAATAATAAAAGCGGGTGGACAAGATTTACACAAGCGACTTGGAAGTCTGATCAGATATATATGGAATCAAGAGGAACTACCAGATGAATGGAAAAACGCCGTAATCTGCCCAATACACAAAAAAGGTGATAAAAGTTCATGTGAAAACTATAGAGGCATTGCCCTGTTAGACACTGCATATAAGATACTAGCATTTCAACTAAGGGACAGATTGAGCATATATGAAAATGAGGTTATAGGTGAATATCAAGGAGGTTTTAGAAGGGGCAGGTCCACAATAGACCAAATATTTACAATGAAATGAGACTGCTGGGATTACCAAGTAAACTGATAAGGTTAGTCAAAATGACAATGAACGGGACAATGAACAAAGTCACATTGGAAGGGAAAACATCTAGAGCTTTTGGCGTAACGAGAGGCCTGAGACAAGGGGACCCGCTATCTACAACATTGTTTAACTTTACGCTGGAAGCTATTTTACGTAATTGTGGTATACAAACCGACGAAGTTGTTTACTATAGAAAACATCAGTTGATTGCTTATGCCGATGATATAGCAATAATAACCAGATCCAAAGCAGAACTTGAGAAGACGTTTAGAAGGTTAGAAGAAACTGCCAAACGTTTTGGGCTTCATGTAAATGAAGACAAAACAAAATACCTTGAAATGAGAGGAAGCAATGAAGGACAGTTAACAATAAGAAGTAGTTGCAGAGAATACTGTTTCGAGAAGGTGAATCAATTTGAATATCTAGGGGGTCACAATAACAGATAAAGCAGAAGAAGATTTAGAAATTGAAAAAAGAATAGCAAAAGGGAGTAAAGCAATGGGGGCTTTAAGCAAGATGATAAACTCGAGGTGGATATCAAGGAAAACAAAGGAAAGGATATATAAATCAGTTATCCAACCATCAGTACTTTACGGCGATGAAGCTTGGGTGTTAAGCCAGAAAAACGTACAGAAATTGGAACGCTGGGAAAGAAAAATGTTACGTAAAATATATGGGGGCACAAAAAACAACGATGGTACATGGAGAAAGCGAACTAATAAAGAACTGATGGAGATGTATAACCAACCCAGTATAATACAAAAAGCCCGAGCTCAAAGAGTGCGCTGGTTAGGACACGTTTACAGAATGCCGTCTCATAGGAATGCCAAAAAAGTTTTGTTTGGAGGAGAAGGTAGTAGAAGAAGAAGAGGAAGACCGAAGAAGCAGTGGCTGGAAAGTGTCAAAGAGGATATACAAAGACTAGGCATACCAGACTGGGAGGAAAAGACCAAAAATAGAAAAGCGTGGAAAGAAGTTGTCAAAAAGATAGAAGCCATGGGCCTTCAGGCCTGAAGCGCTGAATTATATATATAACCTTTGCCTCACTTAGTCTTGGAAATTTCTGACGCAGGTATTGGAAAGCTGACCCATCTCTATCTAATGCCTTGACAAAGTTTTTCATTAGGCTCAACTTGATATGCAGTGGTGGTAATAAAATTTTTTTCGAATCTACTAATGGCATATGCTGTACATTTTTTTGACCTGGCTCTAGGAATTGACGAAAAGGCCAGTTTTGTCTGGTGTAATGAAGTGCCTTTGCCCGACTGTCCCATTCACACAAAAAACAGCAAAACTTTGTGTAGCCTAGCTGCAGCCCAAGTAAAGGTGCAACTACTTTCAAATCGCCACAAATATGCCATTGGTGCTCATCGTATTTTATGCATGTCAATAGGTACTTCATATTGTCATATGATTCTTTCATGTGAACTGCATACCCTACAGGAAGAGATATTTCCAATATGCAATAACACAGCCTTTAAACTCAATGTTGAACTGTCTATAAACAATCTCCATTCTTCTGGGTTATAGTTTATATTTAAAGCCGCCAGTAAGCCGTTATTGTTACTGCAGAAAACCAAGTTATTCTCCATATTGAAAAATGGTTCTAAGTCTTTGTGGCGTTTACGAAAAACACATACCGAAACATCGTCTTCTAACAAGTTCCACTACTGCAGTCTTGATCCAAGTAACTCTGCCTTACATTTTGGAAGTTCTAAATCTCTTACAAGATCATTTAATTCTGACTGTGTTATTTTGTGAGGTTGGTGGCATGACGTGCTCGGTATAAAATCAGGATCTCTTGACGTTGATGGCATATCTTCTTCCTGACGAATCACTCGATCGCCATGATCTGATTCGTTTTCTGATTCGCAAGTGTAGGATTCTGTGGGTTTTGGAATGGGATTTTCGTCACTGTGAGGCACAGGTCTCATCGCAGATGGTATGTTTGGGTAGTTAATAACCTATTTTTTTTTCTTGGACGACCTACCTGTGGCTTGTCCAACACAAGGTACCATGCAAAAGTAACACTCATTAATATGATTTGTAGGCTCTCTCCAAACCATTGGGACAGCAAAGCGCATAGACCGTTTTTTGACATTTAACCAGCTCCTCAGACTTGAAGCACATGTATTACAGCAGATGTGGGGTGCCCACTGTTTGTCTTGATCACCTAGTTTACAACCGAAATAAAGCTGATATGCCTTTGTTATTAGTGGAGTAATAGACCGTCTCTGAGACGCAAAAGTCACATCACCACACACGTAACAAAACTGATCGGGATTGTTTACACACTTTCAAGACATCTTGCATGAACGCTGTCAGCCTACTGAGAAAAAAATGGCTAATATAAAACAATATAATGTACACGTATGTATAACGTAACACAATCATGCCGATTACATCATCTTTCCTTGCCGAATATAAAAATGTAGCACGTGCATTCTTGTGAATTACAGTATATTAACACTGTCACAGCAGGAACACATATAATTTATTAATAATCTCTAAAACTTGAACTAATATTGAAAAAATAAGTTTCATTCCGGTTTTAGCACATTAAAAATAGTAATGTTTTGTTGATTTTATTTAGGATATTTTTCGGCTGTTGATCAGTGTAATCATTGATACTCCAGCTTTTTAAATCGCCCTTAGATTTTCTGTAATTTGACTAGTTTTAGAGATATCGATGCTCAGATACAAAAAGGGTCCCGTTGCATTAAAAATTCGATATCTCAGCGAGGAATGGTCGAACCGAGGTTTTGAAAATTCAAGCTTATGTTAAATCAACGTCCCATCGATTCCATCTAATGGGTTTGTGTGGTTTTTTCTTTGGATTGCGTAAAAACTGCAGCTTCAAAATATTTTTGACTGAGAGATACTCGAAGCTTTAAAATGCTTCTCTTAGAACCTAAAAACTACCATTCTTTACTGAGTTACAGCAAACAATCGTAAAAAAAATAAAATTTTTATTCGATCCCTTAATTTTTTCCATCGACATATAATGAACAAAGAGGCCTATGATTATTGGCTCGCCGCACCCAAATATTGGCTGCATATTTCGACGACCAGATCTCATTGAACATCACAAACTATTTCCTTCCTGTAAGTTTAAACAAAAAAATCCGTTTGTGAGTCTTTGTCAGTCTTTCTGATATGGTTTGTGTAATGTTCATCAGATTTGATACTGTTGGCCGCCCTTTTATAAAATCGTGTTGTACACATATTTTCTGATAACACTGATGAACAGCCAAAAAATATCCTAAATAAAATCAACAAAATATTACTATTTTTAATGTGCTAAAACCGGAATGAAACTTATTTTTTCAATATTAGTTCAAGTTTTACAGATACGGTAATTATATGTGCTCCTGCTGTGGCAGTGTTAATATACTGTAATTCACAAGAATGCACGTGCTACATTTTTATATTCGGCAAGGAAAGATGATGTAATCGGCATGATTGTGTTACGTTATACCTACGTGTACATTATATTGTTTTATATTAGCCATTTTTTTCCTCAGTTGGCTGACAGCGTTCATGAAAGATGTCTCGAAAGTGTGTAAACAATCCAGATCATTTTTGTTACGTGTGTGGTGATGTGACTTTTGCGTCTCAGAGACGGTCTATTACTCCACTAATAACAAAGGCATATCAGCTTTTTTTCGGTTGTAAACTAGGTGATCAAGACAAACAGTGGGCACCCCACATCTGCTGTAATGCATGTGCTTCAAGTCTGAGGAGCTGGTTAAATGGCAAAAAACGGTCTATGCGCTTTGCTGTCCCAATGGTTTGGAGAGAGCCTACAAATCATATTAATGATTGTTACTTTTGCATGGTACCTTGTGTTGGACAAACCACAGGTATGTCCAAGAAAAAAAAATTGGTTATTAACTACCCAAACATACCATCTGCAATGAGACCTGTGCCTCACAGTGACGAAAATCCTATTCCAAAACCCCCAGAATCCTACACTTGCGAATCAGATCATGGCGATCGAGTGATTCGTCAGGCAGAAGATATGCCATCAACGTCAAGAGATCCTGATTTTATACCACGCACGTCATGCCACCAACCGCACAAAATAGCACAGTCAGAATTAAATGATCTTGTAAGACATTTAGAACTTCCAAAATGTAAGGCAGGGTTACTTGGATCAAGACTGCAACAGTGGAACTTGTTAGAAGTCGATGTTTCGGTATGTGTTTTTCGTAAACGCCACAAAGACTTAGAACCATTTTTCAATATGGAGAATAACTTGGTTTTCTGCAGTAACATTAACGGCTTACTGGCGGCTTTAAATATAAACTATAACCCAGAAGAATGGAGATTGTTTATAGACAGTTCAACATTGAGTTTAAAGGCAGTGTTATTGCATACTGGAAATATTTTACCATCTCTTCCTGTAGGGTATGCAGTTCACATGAAAGAATGATATGACAATATGAAGTACCTATTGACATGCATAAAATACGATGAGCACCAATGGCATATTTGTGGCGATTTGAAAGTTGTTGCACTTTTACTTGGGCTGCAGCTAGGCTACGCAAAGTTTTGCTGTTTTTTGTGTGAATGGGACAGTCGGGCAAAGGCACTTTATTACACCAGACAAAACTGGCCTGTTCGTCAATTCCTAGAGCCAGGTCAAAAAAATGTACAGCATATGCCATTAGTAGATTCGAAAAACATTTTATTACCACCACTGCATATCAAGTTGGGCCTAATGAAAAACTTTGTCAAGGCATTAGATAGAGGTGGGTCAGCTTTTCAATACCTGCGTCAGAAATTTCCAAGACTAAGTGATGCAAAGGTTAAAGAAGGTATTTTTGTTGGGCCACAGATTCGAAATATTTTGAAAGATACACAGTTTGAAAACAGTTTAACAGGTATTGAAAAAACTGCTTGGAATGATTTCCGTCTGGTGGTCACTAATTTCTTGGGAAATAGAAAAGCTGACAACTATAAAACCCTTGTCAAAAATATGCTGTCATCGTATCAAAAGATGGGCTGTAATATGTCTCTTATGATACATTTCCTACACTCACACCTGGACTTCTTTCCTGACAATTGCGGAGCCGTAAGTGATGAGCACGGCGAACGTTTTCATCAGGATATTTCAACAATGGAAAAAAGGTACCAGGGAAAGTGGAATGCTTCCATGCTTGCAGACTACTGTTGGACTCTTGGTAGAGATGCTCCAGAAACGATCCATAAAAGAACAGCAAAAAGACAGCGCATATAGTGATTCTTATAAGTATATGAAACTTGTTACTTTTTTTAATATATCCTCAAAAATAAAAAGTTTATTTTCTAAACCGCAACTAATTTTTTTATTTCATTGTCATTTTTGGATTCAGCGCCCCAAAATTAATAAAGATGTGCACTTTTCCCACAAGATACAATTAAAAAACTAAAATTTGTTGTCCAGTGTAATATGATGTCTGTTGCAGAATATATTGTCGTAAAAACATGAAAATGGGATGGAACATGCAAGTCTCTAAATTGTAAGTACTCACCAACAACTTGCAAATATCCTTTCCTTGACCTCATCGGGTCGGTGTTGATTTGGCACATATACCAGCCTCTATCCACCTCCTGGACGTTCTTGATATGCAGATACCAAGACCGATGATCGTTGTAAGAGAGGGATATCCTCGGGTTTTGAGTGATGACGTTGTGATGTATTGAAAGGATCGTCTGGGTATCGACTCTGACCCACGCGACCTGCAACAGATAAAAGATATTTATTTTGTTGAAGATTTATTCGCTTTAACCAACCCTACCAACATAAAAATTAATGGAAATTGCAGAAGTAGCCTTAAAATACCCCTCAAATGCCAGCACTGCTCTGAACAACATTGAATATCAATGTAGCCGGGGCGACAGCACCCAATATGTGTGAGCAGTATTCGAAGCTAGGTCTTATCTGAGCCTTGTCTAGAGTGATAGGCTATGTGGAAAAAAGTACTTCTTAGTACTAGCATGAATCGTGAACAGTTCGAAAATTTTGTTGATGGAATCGATCTATACCTTTAATTACTTTCTGACGGATTTAAAATCATTGTTATTTAATGGGAAAGAATACCGTGAAAGCTCAGCAATGGCTTAAAAAATGTTAACCAAGCTCTGCTCCGTCGAAAACAATGATTTGCCGGTGGTATGCTGATTTTAAACGCGGTCGTCCTGATACAAAGGATGCGAAACGCTCGGGTAGGTCAAATGAAGAAGTAACTTCGGAAAATGTTAAGCAGGTTTTAAAAATCGTGAGGAATGACCGCAAACTGAAAGTTCTTGAGATTGCTGAGATAGTACACATGTTAACCGGAAGTTCATGTACCATCTTACACGAAAAGTTAGAGTATAAAAAAAGTCCGAATGGGTGCCGCGCTTTCTCACAATGGAACAAAAGCAACAACGAGTTGATAACTCGGAGAGCTATTTGTCACTGTTCAAGGATAAACAAGATTTCTTGCATCGGTATGTGACAGTAGACAAAAAATGGATCCACCATTTTACACCGGAATCAAATCGGCAGTCAGCTGAGTAACGTGCAGCTGGTGAAAGCCGTCCGAAGCGTCTAAAAACGCATCAGTCAGCTGGCAAAGTCATGGCGTCATTTTTTGGGACGCACAGGGTATAATTTACATGGACCACCGATTATTACATGAGTTACTGACGCGTTTAAAGGAAATCGCAAAAAACGACCGCACATGAAGAAGAAAAAAATAATGTTTAATCAGAGCAACGCACCATATCACAAGTCAATAAAAACAATGGTCAAATTGGACGCGTTCGGCTTCAGTCTGCCTCCCTATCCACCGTACTCCCTAGATCTAGCCCCCAGCGACTACTGGCTCTTTGCTGATATCAAAAAGATGCTCCAGGGAAAAAGATTTGGCTCTAACGAGGAAGTTATCGCTGAAACAGAAGCTTATTTTGACACCAAGGACAAATCTCGTTGGAATGATTGCATTGCACTTGATGGCGATTACGTTGATGAATAAAAATGAATTTTGCGAAACAAATGCTGTTTTCATGGTTAGTCCCGCATTTCAGTGTAGAGGTTCGCAATTATTTACAAACTGTTTATCCAAATGATTGGATTGGCCGCGGTGGGGCCCAAGAATGGCCACCAAGGTCCCCAGACCCCAACAGTTTAGATTTCTTTTTGTGGGGCTATCTTAAGACACTAATGTACACAAGTCCCATTAACACTGTAGAGGAATTAAGAGAAAGAATAGTTGCAGCTTGTGGTAGAATGAAAAACAGGGATATTTCAACGAGTGTGCAATTCCATGAGAAGGAGGGCGGAAGCATGCATACTAAGTAAAGGGGTAATCATTTCGTTGGTTTTAATGTTAAGTTTATGATGTCAGTTGGTGTTGTTCATTACCCCTAATGTGCTTAATTTTTCCAATTAAATTAATAACAATTTTTCAAGTTAGACAATAGAACGGTTTTTATTTTTTTACTCAAAAATGGCGCATCGAAGGAAAACAATTCAAGAGAGATCATTTGTTTTAAATTGAACGGGGAATTCAAAAATAATATTTATAGATATCGAAGTTGTTGGAACGCGTACTAGCGTCACCCTGCCACGCCGCTACTGGCGAGACGACCAGACACGTCGCCTAACCTTGAAGCTTGTAACAGCCGTCGGTCCACGCGCGTCGCACTACAGTATATTCAGATAAGAGATAGACCGGATGTAAACAAAAGGTTCGGGTGATTTTCACGCTAACGCCGCCGTCTCGTCGTAAAACAGGAGCCCTCATTGGTCAATTCGCAATTAAATGCCTATACCGAGCGGCAGAGCAGTCGTATCAAGGCAGAGTCACATTCAGGTTCAGACGTGTTACGTATGTCGTGTGCAATCATTGCAATTTGATATTTCTTTGGACGTTTTCGTTTGTTATCTTATTAAGTTGTTGAGTTTGTCGTTGTTATTGTTATACCTTGTTATTGATTGTTATTGTTATCAACTGCTTGCGCAAAATGCCCAGTAGTACAGATACTGCCGATGAAGTTGTAAACTCCTTTAGTCCACCTAGGAAACGCTCTAAAAAAAGACACCTGAGAGCAGAAATGAAAGAGGTCATTTTGAATATATATAAGATCGAGCGCGAGGAGAATGAGGCATCAACCATCAAAGAAATTGTTGTGAAGGTTTCTCACAAAGTTGGAGTGTGTCGCGCATCAGTGTTTAATGTGTTAAGACAATACAAAAAAAATCACACCTTTTCTGAGCCAATGACCAGTAAACATCGCAAAAGTATTGTTAAATGATTGGATGAAGCTGATAAGCATGCTATTAGGAGGAAAGTGCATGAATTCTTCTTTAGGAATGAAATACCTACTATAGATAAAGTACTGCAGGAGGTAAATGGAGATACAACGTTGCCAAATTTCAAACGATCAACTTTCCATGCGTTACTAAATTTCAAATGGAAAAAACGGGGTCGTAATAGTTTACTACTGGATAGAGAAGAAATTGTGCTATGGAGGAGGGATTATTTGACAAAAATTGGGAAATAAAAAAAACTAAAACAGGAAGATTTATTATCTTGATGAAACGTGGGTAAACGCAGGACACACTACAAGTAAAGTATGGGTTGATGATTCTGTAACTTCATCCAGGAGGGCCTTTCTAGATGGACTGTCCACCGGATTAAAAAATCCAGCAGGTAAATACGAGTAATAGACAACAATCGGATGTTTTTCAAACCTTGGGAACAAGGTTCTAAACATTAATTCCAGGGGGCAGATAAAACATATTACAAGTAACAAAACTTTTATAACTTTCAATAAAATGCGTGGATGTTTTATTGTCATTTTCATTTGTTAGAACTTTTTTAAGCCAAGTTTTTATGTGTTTTAGACATTTCAATAGTTTTTTAATACAATCTTAAAATATGTCGAATATTATAAACTTAAAAAAAGTTACTAAGTTTTATATTGTGTAATATTTCTAATCATTTTAATTCATACTTTAAGCTTTATAAAGTTATAATTCGTTAATATCAATATTTGCGCGTATTTCGGGTTCCTGATCATTCATTTTTTAAAGGTTTATAACTTTAAATTAAATTGTGAAGCGCTGAGTAATCATACGACGTTCAATATTCTTTCTTTCAATATGACTAAATAATCCCAATTACAGCAATCTGATACTCATGTCTCAACGTTTTTTCGCTGAATGTGATGAAAACATTTGAAAAAGGTTCGCTTATTGAAATAAATCTACACCAGTTAGTACTTCGATTTCCAGGTAAAGGGAAAAGGCTCATTATCTGCCATATTGGCAGTGAGGATGGATTTGTTGTTGACGGTCTGTGGTGCTTTGAGTCTAAGAAAACTGTAGATTACCACGAGGAAATGAATGGCGAATCGTTTGAACAGTGGTTTTCAAAAATTTTACCGAACTTAGAGGAAAACGCAGTAATTGTGTTGGATAATGCGCCTTATCATTCTCGAAGAATGGAGAAGGTCCCAACAGCGGCTTCAAGGAAAGTTGATGTTCAAAATTGGCTCCGCTCGAAAAATATCAACTTTGAAGAAGCAATGCTGAAAGTACAATTATTAAGAATTGTCAAGGATCACAAGGCGGAATATCAAAAATACGCCATTGACGAAATGGCAGCAAGTCAAAATAAAACTGTGCTCCGTTTACCTCCATACCATTGCGAGCTCAATCCCATTGAGCTCATATGGGCAAAGGTTAAAAATTATATAGCTAAGCACAATACAACTTTTAAATTTTGTGACCTCAAAGGACTTTTCAAAGAAGCACTAGAATTAATAACAGCGCAAAAATGGGAAAACTGTATTAAGCACATGAAAGACAAAGTTGAAAAGAGAATGTGGGAACTGGGCAATATTTTAGAGGAACAAGTCGAGCCATTCATTATTGACATTGGTGCTTCAGGCAGTAGCGATGATGAAAGCTCATCAAGCTCATCTTTCCAATAAAAGATGTCGTTCATCAAATTCGGTAAGTTATAAGTAATTATAAAGCTACTGTATTTTTTAATTAATTATTGACATTTTTGAACCCATTTTGGCAAAACCTATTCAAGAATCTACTTTCTGACAATGTTCAACCATGCACATTTTTTTACGTTTTGAACGTTTTAATTTGGTTACATATTTACCTAGAAATCAAAAAATATACTAATCAATATTCTAAAAGCAATTTTAAGAGATATACGATTATTTTTAATTTAGGCTAATTTAAACGCCATTTTGAGATTATATTCGACTGTATTTCACCAAACATCAGACGGCATCCGAAGCTGGAAATCGAAGCGAAAATTTTGAAACCCTTATGTATATTTACATCATTATATATTTCTTACCCCACCCCCACATGGTCCTATATCCATCACCAATCGTATACAGATCGAATTGTGCTAATTTACTACAAAGTTACGCAAAGCAGCATCTACTATTTAAAATATGTACTGCGTGACTCTTAATACGTCCCTGCCGAATGTTACAGCGTTCGATGATCACGTGGTCTTGTTTATGTCCGGTCTATCTCTTATCTGAATATACTGTAGGAATGCAGTCAGTCGTAAAGGGTCAGTGGTAGGAAGCAGTTGAAGAACAACAGCAGCCAACGCACGTGCGCGGATCGCGAAACGCGCAAGCTCAGTATACACCTGTCGCGTATCTACACATTCATGTACAAGTACTCAATAAACTGTTCTGAACCAAAGACCACTGCGAGTTGAATTGCTTTGCTTACCTATTCTCAACAGAAGTCAATACCCGTTCGTACGCTCCTGTTAAAGCTAAAAATTATTTTTGCATTGAAAAATATGCAACTTTATTAACTTTCATTACGTACTAAATATCAGTGAAGTATCTGAAGCGGTTCTGAAAATATTAATTAATTTCCATTTTTTTTCCCTAAAACTTCAACACCCCGAGTTTTTGTAAGGAAACATCTTTGGAGAAAACCAAAATTAATTTTTCATATAGATTCACACCCTTAAATATTCGCATATCATTGAGGAACACCCTGTAGAACCTTTGAATGCAAAAATTACAAACTCTTAAGTCGTTACAACTGGATGAAGTGTGGTTTACTTAGGTAATTTGGGGAGTTCAATTCGAACAGGCCGTCAAAGGGAATGGATTGCTTGGAAATTTCAAGTCGGTGGTAGGAACTTGGAGTATACGCATTACCCAAGAAGATTGGTTTTTGTGGAGATCATGAATATGCATGGCTGTTTTGAAAATGGAAAAAATATAGAACTATGTGAAGCAGAATTGGCTGATAATGTCTTCCCATACAGCATTGGAACTGTATTTTGACTATCTTACCTTATAGCCTCTCAAATTCTCTACAACACAGGCTAAAACCGCATCTCTTCCTATGGTGACAGTAACGTTGGGAATGGGCTCCAAGAATCTCGGATAGACAGAATCTGAAATAAATGAAATAAGCGTCAAATATTATTATCAATCTATCTTAGATTCGTTGTTTGTTATTATGCTCAAAAAAAACTTCTCTCCATGAAGTGTCTCACGTGTCAGCCGCATTTCGAGAAATCTAAGATTATAATATTTATGTAAATACTTTTTACTTAATTTCAATTGAAATGATCTCATAGGATTAAAGTTTGAGAAACAAAGATTTGGTGACAACAGACTCGAAAAATTTTCGTAAAATAATGTCATTCTTGAAAATACTGCTGCTTCGCGCCTAATTGAAAAGAAGCTGTACTCCAAGGTGACATTTCAAGAGTCTTGAGAATAGAGCCGAATTGTCCTGCCTCTAGTCATACTTATCTTGGCATTGCAGTCAACCTGGACAAATCATATACACCACGTAACAACCAAAGCCAAAGAGCTTCTAAAAATGCTGGAGACGTCTTTCAAAGGCTACAACGTTAGCACCAGTGGCGCTCCCAGAATTTCAGACTGGGAGGGGTAAAATGGAAAGTAAATTCTCAGTGTGACGTACTGAAGTGTTATAATGATTTAACATTAAAAGCATGGACATCTGCAGACATATGAATTTGTTACAGTAATTCCTGTAGTAAATACATACAATTCTTTTTAATTTTGAATCATATGAAATGTAGCATCTGAAACTGCTTCTGTATGATATATTGAGTTCTCATGTGTCTCACAATCACCGGTTTTGCCGTACAATTTCGAAAATTTCTTTAGTAGTACGGTAACAAGTTTTCCCAATTCAGTTGATTTACGTACTAATTTTGCAAAAACCACGCAATATTCACAGAAAAGCCCTTGTAGTTCCTCTGAATATGACAGCCAAGGAGATTTCTCGAAGTGTTTTTTTGATAAGTAACATTTCACTTCTTTATTATTTTTCAAGTGTGTGGAATAGGGATATTTGACAGCGTCATTAGGGATCATTGCACACCCCAATAAGGTATATTTTTTATGGGACGACAAGTTGCCGCTGAAATCTACATATGGCGCAACATCAACAAAATTCTATCCTTTAGGTTTCGCACCCTATTGTTCAACACTTGGTTCAGCAGACGGTGCAACATCAAGAAATTTTGAAATGGAAGGCTCAGGTTGAATTGTAGGATTATCATCTGTTTTTTCTGGGAATTCTTGTTCCGGTGGATCAGACAGTTTGTTTTGTTTAGCAAGGAACCAATCGATAGTATTCTGTTTCCTTTTACTCATCCTGACACCAGCAGCCGTCAACCAGCACTAAAAGTTACACAAATATTGTTAAATAAACGACATTATTGGTTTCCACGCATTCACGTATCTCTTAAGAAAGAACCTTTTCTGTTTGGAAAACAGGATTTCTTAAGTTCACGCAATTTTCAAAAACTATATATATAATGTTCACTTCTCAGCCAAATTTTGTTGCGGAGTCCGGACTGGTACAGAATTTAGACACTGGACTAGACCATAAAAGACTAGAGTATACCTTTTCCAAAAGGAAGAAGCGCACACCATTGCTGTTGATTTCTTAAAGTTACATATTTTTTTATAAGACGTTTGCTTTATACCACCTTTTCCAAGACTGCTCGAGTCGCCTGGGGCGGTGGTAATTACCCCCTCCCCCCCGCCTGTGGGAACGTCAGTGGTTAGCACTTGCGCCTTCGTTTAAAAGATATTTGTAAGGGCAATCCTCAAATTTGGTGGCCCTGTATGGGAAACTCCTTGAATCAGTACAGCGTCGAATCCCATTTGGGGCTCGCAGACCCAGCTATGTAGATTGCCTCAAGTTATTCCACTTGACCACATTATCTGAGGCGATCTCATAGTTACGTTCAGAATACTTCCTGCAAAAAAGGCCATAGCGGTTTCTCCCCAATCGCACATTCAACACTTGGAACAGTTCATTTCGAATCTCGAAATATTGATGAGGAACGCCGAAAAATAAATCTCGCTCCGCCGCTGGTTTCTTGAGGACTGGACATTCAGCCAGCGCTCTTCGAGACATTTTAATAGAACCACGGGGACCGTCTCGTATCTCGCCCACTCGAAAAACACTTGTCTCCCAACGGAGGAACGGTCACTCTAACCTATCGTTCCGCGACGAATCCGACGTACTTTTATTACTTGATGCTACACGATTTTTTATCCTTTTAAAGGGTATGTGCACAAGGGTTTTCATTTCATCCTCCAGTTATTCCATGGGCATCGTAGCGGCTAGAACGCAGGTCGAGTGCTTCTTGCATTGCTGCTTTGGGATTTATCTTCAATATTTTCGTTTCTACTGGAGAGCAAGTCTTTGTTCGAATATATCTCTTCAAGATGAGTTTAAAAGCATTACTGTAGATCAGCAGGACGGTTTTCGTCAGAATAAGTCAATTTGTACCAACTTGATGTTATACTGAGTGATAAAGAAAGGTAAACACCTATCTATGTTTATCCGATTTTGTTAATTTTTGGCATATATATCCGAACACCCAGTTTAAATGGTTTTATTTTAATAAAAGTTGGTGAATGTATTTATCTTACTGTAAATAACAAGTGAAAAAATGTTCAGCCTTATCAGTTGGACATTCCGGTTTTTATACTGCTTTTTTTTATTCACTAACGCTCTAAAAATGAATATTTCAGCCGCAGTAAAGAAGCAACGTTGGCGGACGATGCCTAGAGTACGGAGACCTGTACGATTTCGTCAACTTAGTGAGTTTGATAGGGGCCGTATAGTGGGACTTCGGGAAGCTGGAATTTCTTTTCGGGCAATTGCAGTTAGAGTGCAAAGAAGTGTAGACACTGTGGTTAGGTGTTGTCAGGCATGGCTTCGAGAAGGCCGTACGCAAAGAGCAAGAGGCACTGGACGCCGCCGTAGAACAACAGACCATGAAGATCGCCGCCTAAGATTATTGGCCTTAATGGACCGTTTCTCCACTACCAGGTCCATTGCAAATTAATGGTTTGCAGAACACGGAAGATCTATTGGCATGCGAAGTGTTAACCGACGAATGAGAAGTTTTGGCTTGTTTTCATACCGGCCACACTGGGTCCTCCCTTTAACTTGAGAACACCGACGTAACCGCAGACAACGGTCACTCTGGGATCAGGAATGGAACAGTATTGTCTTTAGTGACGAGTCTCGATTTTGTTTAGGCATGCACGATGGTCGTGCCAGGGTTAGAAGGCGACGTGGTGAAAGGAGAAATCCACAGTTTTTTGTTGAAAGACATGTTCATCACACTGTTGGAGTTATGGTTTGGGGTGCTATAGCTTATGGTTCCAGGTCACCTTTAATCTTTATCAGAGGTAACATGATCGCGCAGCGTTATATCCACGAAGTTCTAGAACTCCATCTTTTACCCTATCTTGACACCCTGGCAGATCCAACTTTCCAACAAGATAATGCCCGACCACATGTTGCAAGAGTCACAATAGACTTATTTCAACACAATGATGTCACATTGTTACCATGGCCACCAAGATCTCTAGACTTATCCCCAATTGAGCACGTGTGGGATATGATGGGTAGGAGATTGCTCAATTTGCAACGTCATCCTCAGACTCTAGAAGCACTTCGATAGGAGTTGGTGGTTGCCTGGAATGAGATACCACAGAAGGACATTGACCACCTGATCAGAAGCATGCCTAGGCGCGTTAAAGAACGCGTAGCACATCAGGGTGCATCCACACATTATTAAAGGTCGAAGGGCTTTAAAGCAGTGCAACCATTTTGAAATTTTTATCATTTACTTATTATGCTTCATTAAGTACTTATACAAAATTTTATTAAAATAAAACCATTTAAACTGGGTGTTCGGATTTATATGTCACTTAGTATATGTTCAGTGAAGAATCGATGTGAAATAATTCTTGAATTCTAATAAACATACGTAGGTGTTTACCTTTTTTGCTATTGGATGACAATGTGGATGATGGAGATGTCCCTTGGGCTACCGTTGTCTTAAAAACAATCTAACACCATCGATAAAATTTACAAGGGAAGAAAACTACTGTATACAGAAAAAGAAGGAAACAGGGCAATACTTATATTTCCGTTTCAGTCATCCAGCAAAGACGAAGAAAGGCGTTATTAGAACGCTCGTCAACAAAGAGTGTCTGTAATATGCAAACAAATCTCCAGGAAGAATTCAACCACATCAAAGAAAGTCTAATGAGGAAAGGCTACCCAAGACGACTGATAGATGAAATAGAAACAGTAAAAACATGCGGAATGAATCCCAGCAAACACCAATTCTACCATATGCTGAAGAAATAGGTGATGCAATTAGAATAATATTAAAATGATACCAAATCGAAACTGGATTTTCAAGGGTCACCACTCTTCACAGTATCCTCAAAAAAAAACCATGTACAGAAACCAAAACACCAAGGGCTGAGTACAACTAGTACCATGTGAATGCAGAGATATATAACATCTCAATAATTACCAACACTTTCGATTGATTCCCAAAAAACACCTTTTCTCATTCTTTGTTGTCAAATAGAAAGTTTTCCCACAAAAATTGGTGTATCCATTTTAGGCGTCTCTGTTTTGAATACCTCCTTGAGCAACTTGCAGCAATAAAACCGGTCTTTACAATTAATCCGCAAACCAGGGGTATTTTCGTCTAATATGATTAGACTACCACGCGGCTGCTTCAGTCTAAAAAAAGCTCCTGGCGGTAACACACCAGGCCGCCCATCCTCTACGATAATACAAAGTGTCGGCTAAAAGAAGAAAACGTTTCATTTTATTTATCATACTCACGATGTACATCTTGAAGCTACAACTACAATTTCATACAATATCCTTCCGTATGTTGGACGCGCAAAGAAGCGACGGCGCGGCAAGCGCTATTCCGACAAGTTTCATAGCTGCAAATCCCTTTTCACGTTCCCGTTAAGTGTGCTACACGTCGTAAATTTCCGGCCGGAACTCGGAACGGGCTCCAGGAATAAATAACCGGAGCCGCGCACACCGGAGTTTGCCCCGGTAACGCTAAGT